CTTTTGTATTATTTGACATATAATATTTTATTTTCAAATTAAGCATTTCAGTCTCCTGTAATTTATGTATTGTTGGGTTTTTTTGGGGGGGTATTTCTTATCAGAAATCTAGGCTTGTTGTGTTCTTTTTCAGTGAATCCTATTTACTCTGATTCCTTACCTATGATCTGCCTTTCATGCTTAAGCTTACTAGGAATCTATACTTTCAGTTATATAGTGTCACTGAGATGTGAAAGCCCCTTCAGTAGTAAAAGGCAGAATTGCAGATAAAGTTTTAGTAAAGTTATTACTCCCTAAACTGTCTGCAAATACTCCCTAATACTCCCTAAACTGTCTGTAAAAACAATGCCCTAAATTACTTCCTTCAGGTCATCATTATTGAAAAAGCCCTTTCAGTATGTGAGAGAAATTTGATAATGGTCTCCAGTGGAGATGTTAGTGTCCTAATAGGAAAATGAGAAGGAACACTTCTTCAGGTTACACGACTGAAAGCTATTTAGGCTTTATAGAGTAATACTATTTCAAATTAGACCTTGAAAAATGTCCTGACCACCAGTGCATATAGCAAAGCACTTATATATATCATACAAGTCAGCTCTGGTTTGAACTCATTGAAGTTTCTGAATAATTTTCAAAGGAAACCCCATGTGCTAGTATATTGTTATACAGTAATTCAACTGGAAAATTACTGGATCGTGGAAAAACTGTTGCAAAGATATCTCTGCAGATATGGTTGTAGCAGATTTGATCTGATCCCCTTATATTTCTAGAGGCAATCATAGATCTAGTGGCAATCATTTAGATTAATATACAGGTAGTCCTTGACTTACAACAGTTCATTTAGTGACCGTTAACGTTAACAATGGCACTAAAAAAAGTGATTTATGATTGTTTTTCACACTTACGACCATTGTAACATCCCCATGGTCACATGATCAAAATTTAGATACTTAGCAACTGGTTCATATTTATGACGGTTCCATGTTTTGAGACCTTCTGACAAGCAGAATCCATGGAGAGACCAGATTCACTTAACAACCATGTTACTAACTTAACAAATGCAATGATTCACTTAACAACTGTAGCAAGAAAAGTTGTAAAATGGGGCAAAACTCACTTAACAAATGTTTCATTTAGCAACATAAATTTTGGGTTCAATTGTTGTAACTTGAGGACTACCTGTATTACATATTTTATCTAACATTCAGTGCAGCTTCCTATAGTCAATATATGAAGGCAATTCAGAAATAAACCTCCGTTTGGTTATCAATGACAGACAGATACAGAACTTTTATTATATACATTAGAAAACTACAACATTACATTACTTTTTGACATAATCGCCATTCGAATTGAGGCACTTGTCATAATATCTTACAAGGTTTGAAATTCCTTAGTAGCAGTTGCTCAGCGCCAAATCTGGGCTATGGGGGGCTTGATCAAAAACATCCCAACGGAACTGCTTCAAAGGTTCTTGGGTACGTCTAGCGGTGTGCGGGCAAGCATCATCGTGAACCAACACCACACTGGAAGTCAGCATGCCCCGACACTTGTTATGGATGGCTCGTCTGAGTTTTCATAACGTTTCACAGTAGACTTCTAAACTGATGGTCGAACCGCACCCCATGAACTTTACTAGCAGTACTCCTTTGGCATCTTCACATTTGGCGGGATTTTCTATGGCACCACTTCTGATGTGTTGGTTCACGATGATGCTCACCCACACACCGCTAGACGCACCCAAGAACTTTTGAAGCAGTTCCGTTGGGATGTTTTTGATCACCCCCATAGCCCAGATTTGGCGCCGAGCGACTACTACTAAGGAAATTCAAACCTTGTAAGATGTTATGACAAGTGTCTCAATTTGAATGGCGATTATGTCGAACAATAATGTAATGTTGTATTTTTCTAATGTGTAGAATAAAAGTTCTGTATCTGCGAGTGTCTGTCATTGATAACCAAATGGAGGTTTATTTCCAAATTGCCCTCATATTTTAAATGAGAAGATCTCTCTCACACACATACCACTGTATATTTGCCTTTAAATTATGGTTTATTAATACTCAGCCAATTATCAGTATTAAAAGTATCCGCAAGATCTGTCACTATCATGAAAGGGATGAAAGTAGATCTAATGGAATGTGTGGATGACCTTGGGGGGAATAAGAGGAAGTGATGCTGCTTAGGAAACAATCAGGCAAGAGAGGGAGGGGCCCTCTCTGACCACTGAAGAAATTTAGGAAGAAACTGCTCTAATTGATCGGGGAGGTTAAAAGTGGTAGCAGGAGGTTTGTACCTTCAGACTTGTAATATTATATTAATATGGTTTTACAATAAGGTAGAACGAAGTTTTCTAGTAGTGTTTCCTATCTGGTTTACTGGAAAGGCTTATATCAACCATGCAACTCTAAAGATACAAATCTCCTACCGCCATTTTTAACCTCCTGATCAATTAGAGCAGTTCCTTCCTAAGTTTCTTCTTTGAATGCCATTGTCTTATAACCATGTAGACTTGTAGCAGGATACATAATTCTCCTAGCCAAAGACAAGGCAAGTTGATCAGTGAGTTATGTAGCAATATGATGGATAGATATATAGATGGAAGATAGAACAATTTGGGGAAAAAAATTACAACGCTCTGCTTTCTGTTGTGCCAAAAATAAAGATGAAAGAGAAAGAATTAAATAACTGCTAGTAGTATGAATTACAGAAAGTAGATTCTGTCTGAGTAGTTAGAACACAAAGTGTGTTCTACAAAGTGTAAATTGCTCGAATGTTCCTCTTTCTCTCTCTCTCTGTGTAGAAAAGAGTAAAAAACTGGAAAAATATGGAACAATTACAAAAAAAGGCAGCTTTTTTAAAATCTTGGCAACTGCATAATTAAATGAGGCTGAATGACTGTATAAAAGAAGAATGGTTTCTGTTTGGTTTTGCTTAGTTATAAAGTGACCTTTGTATAACTATGAACAATGCAGTTTTCCTCATTAGGTAATTGTTTCATAGTTATTCTTTTTAAAGCTCTTTTAAATCTGATATACTTTTGATTTACTGGAATAGTGAAATACGTCTTGTTTGTAATAAAAAATGCCAGAGGTCATAGAATCTTTATTTTTTTCCTAACCTTCAGAGTTTTGTGCTGTATACTGTCAAGTTAGATTGCTTATGATTGTATATTTTAAATTTTTCCATTAAATATAATGGTTGATGAAATTTGCTTTGTAATCAGAGGTTTTCTGTGTTTAATATAAATGGAAATCTGTGGTAAAGAAATGCACTGGGATTTGATACATGAATACCATATAAATTGATTGTACTTATCCATTATTTCAGCAAATATAATTTGGCAGAATCAAACTTTTATAACACTGAGTATAATTCTTCATATGTCCAAAACCTAAAATTTCTTGCTTACTTCTCAAATGCTATTAAAGGAAATTTAAATTTTGTAAACTGAATTTTGAAGTCTAGTCTAAATCCCAAGCAAATTCACATTGAACAGAAGAAAAAAAATGATTAATGCTGATACTTATTCCAAGCTACAAGAGGTTTTTTATTCATATTAAAAATTCATGCATTAAGAAGTAAACTACAAAACTGTTTGCTATAAAGTTCTTGTCTTTTAATTTTATACGTTGTGAGTAGTTTCTACATAACTGAGTTTATATTTAACTCATCTTAAGTTAATTTTGTATTTAAACCCTTTTTTTTTCTATGCAGGTCCAGAATGTTCTTCATCAGGATGGTTTTCGGGTACTGATTCTCTGTGGCAAGCCACAGCAGGTCCACCCAGCCGCCAAAGTACCCATATCAGAAGACACAGCATAGCTTCTGACAGTGGGGATACAGGTGTTGGAACTTCCTGTTCTGATAGTGTGGAAGGTCAGTAGATATGCCTAAACCAAAGGACATCTAGTAGAAAATCAGGAATAATTGTTGTTTGAATAATTAAAAAGCAGAGAAAGATACAGAGATTTAAGGTGACCTTTTTAAAGACTAAAAGATGCAATATGGTCTTAAGGATGATTTACTTTGGAATTAAAAGCTATTATGTTTTTTAAATTTAAATTTAAATTTAAATAAATAAAGTATAGGATTGCATTCATATTTTTGTTTTCCTTCTATTTAAAAAGTAATAATTTAATTTGAGAATGTGTGTGTGTGTGTGTGTGTATGTATGTGTGTATATATATATATATATATATATATATACACACACACACACAGTATTTGTTTTCGTAGATTTTCACAGGTATGCAGGTCTTGGCGTATTCGGGTCTTTTCCCATATAAGATTGAGAGTATCTTGGCGACGTTTCAATGAGGTCCCACTCGTCGAAACGTCGCCAAGATACTCTCAATCTTACATGGGAAAAGACCCGAATATGCCAAGACCTGCATATATATATATATATTTACAATACAATGCATATACTTTATCCTTGTTTACGTGTTTTCCTAATTGAAGATGGTGGGATAAATTAGTTTTTCCCCTAGTGTTACCTTTAAAATATTCTTAAGGCAGAGGTCCCCAATCCCCCGATCCGTGGACCAGTACTGGGCTGTGACATGCCAGCAACTGGTCCGCACAAACAAGCAAAGCCCCAGGATGCAGGCAGCACACAAAATCATGCACTCTCCGGTTTACGGAAAAACCACTTTTCCCAAAAGGTTTCCACAATTTTGGCCACTACTGTAAATCTTGCTTCCCAACACGTTGCAGTTATAGTATCTTTCAAGAGAGTGTGGGAAAAGTACAGAATAATTTATCCCTGCTCCTGCTTGTAGCTTGATTTTAACAAACTGGTTACAATCTGGTTTATGGTTGTTGCCCATTTCAAAATTAACCTCAGCATGTTCTTTCTGTTTCCTGATTGTTTTTGCCAAACAAAGAATATCGATTTTAATATTTTTTCCCTGTATTTCTCGAGTCTTCTTTTTTCCTTTTTCTAAATGCCTGCATTTCTTGTTCCTAGAAGAAATGCTAAGGAGTATCATAATAATTGCCAAAAAGATAAGCAATTGTGGGCACTATGGTAAAAGCCTCAGTTAAACATATTATTTCAGATTTGTTTTTCTTTCAAAAATATTTTGCTACTTGAAAATAAACTGAAGTACAAAACTGTTCATGCTCTTAAATACAATATGTTGAAAATACCTTAGGCCTTAAAATTCAGAGGTACAATGCGATGAAAAGAGGTGAAAGGAGATAAAAAAACCCAGCTATAGAGCGGATAGCATTGCACTGAACAGTGGTTAACAGTTGAATGAGAATCTTGTGCTCAGTGGCTGCTTCACTTTATTTTTTCTTTATATCTGAGCTGCAGAGGAAACAAGTGTTCAGCTGAATGTATTTGTTTTTTTTAAAAGAAATAATAGTGGATGGAAGATAAGGATTTTTTTTTAAAAAAAGCCTGATTATTTTATAAGAGAGAAAGAAGTCATAATATTTATTCAGACTCACTAATTTTTATGAAAAGTCTATGAACTAATATTGTTATATGCTCCATTTCTTTGAATGGTATGACATTCCATGAGTAATGCTTCAGAGTTTAGTAAGGATTATTTTGGTTGAAAAATAGAGAATTATCATATATATATATATTATTAGATGAATGTTCTGTCTTTTCTCTGTCCGCTAAATATGTTGCTCATGACAGTCCTTTTTTGTGCAAAGCAGCATATAAGGAGTATGCTTTGCAAACATGGTTTTATCTGTATGGCAGGTTACTGATGATACTTCTCCCCAAAATTTTTGGATTGCATAATGCCTCATGATTTATTCTACTACGTATGTTTTTCAATATTTGTATGAAGGTGTCAGTGAAATTATCAGGAAATACAAGCCCCAGTGCTGTCTTTACTGGATGACGCTCAGATCTTCCCTTTCCCTTCCTTGGCAGATGTGTAGGCCTCCATAATCACCTCCTGCTTGATCCACATTGTAGTGCGGATGCAACATAAGCAAACTAAACTGAATCCAGACAAGCCCGAGGCTTTGGTTCTTAGTGATTACTCTTTTTGATTGGCAGTATACTGCTCTGCCTTTTGTGTTGAGGTTGCAGTTCCTCTAAAAGAGTACTTTCATAGTTTGGCGATACTTCGTAATCTTGCAACAGCCCCGAGTGCTCACGTGAATGCAGTGGTGATGAGTGCCAACTTTCAGTTACGTTTGATGAACATCACTTCACCGTTTTTTGATAAGGCTGAGCAGGCTTCCAGTTGTGCTAGTTACCTCTCACATAGATCATAGGTACTCAACTTACAATCACAGTTGAACCCAAAATTTCTGTTACTAAGTGAGATACTTGTTAAATGAATTTTGCCCCATATTACAACTTTTTTTGCCACAGCTAAGTGCATGACTGCATTTGTTAAGTTAGTAACATAGTTGTTAAATAAACATGGCTTCCCCATTGATTTTGCTTGTTAGAAGATGGCAAAAGATGATCCATGACCCCAGGACACTACAATCCTCATAAATACAGGCCAGTTGCCAAGGGTCCAAATTTTGATCATGTGTCCTCTAGAATGCTGTAGTGATAGTAAGTTTGAAAAATTGTCATGTCACTTTTTTCAGTGCCACTGTAACTTTGGTTACTAAATGAATGGTAGTGAGTCGAGGACTTACCTGTATTGTAATGTACTTTAAACTGATATGCCTTTGAAGTAAACCTGGAAATGATAACAGGTTCATAATGCTGGGTCTAGGCTTTTGTCTGGTATCACCTCTGAAGAGCTTGTGTTACCTATCTTGTTTCAATTGCACCAGCTTAATATTAATTTCTAAGTCAGATTCAGATTGCTTGTTTAAACATATAAATCCTTTAAAGCTTGGGTCCCAGCTACCTATGGGAAGATATTCCCCATTATGTCACCAACCTGAAAATCCATTCATCCTCCATGGATCTTTTACAAGTGCTGCTTAGAAAGAGGGCCTAGCAACCTCTAGTGGCAGAACCTTCTTGCTTGTCGTTAACTAGAATTGTGATGTTCCTTAACCTTATGGAATGCAGACTTTACTGTCGGAGCTTGATTTTAAAGTCCTAAGGGAGAGAGTTTGAGTTTCATACAGGTTTAATTCTATCGTTTCTGAATTTAGAAATTAAGTTGAGGACTGTGTACAGAGTATAGCTTTGAAATAATTAACAGTGATCTGTAACTGGGCATTTAAGAATTAATTGTAATATATTGTACCTATCTACTTGCTTTCTCCTTATCATTTTAGATGCAAAGATAGAGTTCTTGTTGTTTTACCATGTTACATTGCATGCAAAAGAAATGGGTAGAATCCTGCAGAGTTTTTGAAGATACTGTAATTCACGGGTGTCAAACTCGTCAAGTGACGTGTCGCGACGTATCGCGACTCTTTGCATTGCTGGCAGTGGGGTGGGCGTGGCTTCGGTATGATGAAATCGGCCTGAGGGCCGTCAGTTTGACACCCTTGCTGTAATTGGTTTAGATTCAGAATTGGGAAGAACAGAAGTTTTGAACTTAATCTCCCTTTGAGTGTAGGTAGCCTTCGTCCTTCATTCTCCATGCACCTCACAGATCCCTATGAATACAGAAATACGGTTAACAAAGTTGGGGGACCCTCTGAAGAAGTAAAGGAAGGAATGCCATAGGCTTAAAAACAGCAGCAGCAGCAACAGCAACTAGAAAGCTAACCCCCCTTTTTCCATCAGAAAATCTTTGCTTGGATCCCCATTGCTTCTGTGAAGAGTCCTTAGAGCTCCAGTCTTGTACCAAACCATTGCTTCTTAGACATTTTGTGTCTATGAAAATGAAGGAAATTAGCTAACTTTGATGGAGATTAGTTGAAAATAAATATAATAAGGTGTACAGATCACGTTGTAAACCAGGAAAGGTAATTGTGGAAAACATTAGTTTCTCAAGGTAGCTGTTAGTTTCAGGGGTTCCCAAAGTAATTGTTGCAGGAATATAGGAACAGACTCTCTATTAAAAACTAAGTTATCTTTAAACTATTCCTTTAATATAAATAATTAGTAATATTAATAATGTGCATTTGGTGACATTATGTGCTCCAACTAAAAGGAAATATTCAAGTAATAATAAACTAATATTTAATGTTAGAAAGGAAGAGGAAAGAAAAGAGTTGAAAATGTAGATATCTTTCAACATGATGGAATTCCATGGAGAAAAGCAAAAAGCTTACATCCAGATTTTTTTTCCCTTTCTAAGAAATGTACTTACTGGAGGAAGCAACTGTCTTGGCAGCATGTTGTATTGATTTTTAAGTTGGAGACTGAAAGTCTCTAAGAATCTGTAACAGTAGACTGTAATTAGTTGAAAAGTCAAATTGGCTGTAAATCAAAAATGGTTTTGTAGACCAACCTGCTCATTTTGTATTGAACTGGAGTTAAATATACCTCTCATTTTTCTATTGGTTTTTTAACTATTGCTAAGCAATCACCATTAAAAGGAATTATATGAATATTAACCTTTTGAATTTAAATATAGACATAATATTTTTCAATATAAAAAGTGCTATTACATAACTTTAATAGTTGACTAATGAGATATTGAAATATTGTGATTTTGAGAAGCATAGATATCAGAAATGTTATCTAACAACTATTTGTGTCTACTGAAAGTCTTTATTTATTATCTAAATTTAAAATATGGATATAAATATATTTGTTCTCCATATTTGATAAACATGCACATTTATCCCCTCTTCCTCTCCTCATAAAAAGAGGTCTGGGATTCAGGTCAAATTCAGACATCATTAAGTTTCATGAGCCATTAAGTTGAAAGATTGTTGGTTTAATTCTGTCACTGAAATTCATGTAATTCAAAATGCCTAATAAATTGGATAATATATAAATAATATATAAATTTGATAATACAAAATTATAATAA